GATTTGCCGCACTTCCCACAGGTTGAGTTTCTTGCAGGACAGGCTGCTCGTGGGTGGCGTTTTAGTCCGCAGAAGAAACACGGAGATTGTGAGGCTGCAGCTACGGAAGCGTCTGCAGTTGGAGATGCGGCGGAGGCTGCGACCGGATCGACCCGTACCGTCGGGGACAGGTAGGATTCCGCGTTTCGTGCGGCTTGCTCCAGTGACCGCGCTTGTTGGACCGCTTGGTCTAGGGTCAGAGTCTGGTTTTCCAGTAGTCTGGTTCTCATGCTGGCGTTTCTCAGGCCCCTGATGAAGGCATCGCGCACGAATGCCGCGCGATGCTCTATGGCTGTGACGGCGGCGAAGTTACAGTCACCCGCCAGGTTGTTCAAGGCCAGAAGGAACTCGTCGATGTTTTCTTCTGGCTTTTGGTGCCTCGTTGACAGCAGGTGCCGCGCATAGATTTCGTTTGGCGTCTTCAGATATGCAGCGTCGAGCTGCTTCAGGGCTGCATCGTACGTCTGACAGTCTTGAATCACGTCCACGACTTCTGGTCCGATATGGAGGAAGAGTAGTTCGAGCTTGTCAGGATTGTGACTTTCGATAGTCGTCAAGAAGTACTTAAATCCTCGGAGCCAGAGCTTCCATTTCTTGTGAGCTTGAGGATCGTTTGGAGGGACGTCGAACTTGTCTGGTCTGGCGATCCTCTCCATGTCTTGTCATGAATTTAGTTGAATAAATTGTGGTACCAAAAGTTGTAGTATGAATACAATGGTTTTATTCAACTAAATTCGACCGATATGAGTGTGCACTTGAGGACGAAACAGAAATAACAGATGTTAGCGAGAACACCACATTCGACAGTAATGGGTGGTTTATCACACCCGTCGACCCGATCATAATTTAAGAAGGCTAGAAAGACGAGAAAAGCAACAGATAGCTGTAGGATGCTTCAGAATCGTAGAGGTCATTTTTCGATTAGGTCATCGCTGAGGTCATCGAAGATGAAATTATGATAAAATAATGATAAACACAAAGACAAGATTACGACGAAAAAAAATTCTAGTTTTTATGTTTTCACAAATAACCGTATAACTCGTGAACCAAAGAGCTAGAGCTTCGCGGAACAACTCATTCGATAGGCCTTTCAAAACGCTGTCGCTTTTAAGATTTGACCTCAATGCCTCATGTCAATGGTTTGGCTAAAGAGCAGAGGGCAAAACCATCTAAATAGTCGCATTTTACCAAAATAGTTTTGCTAAAAACTTTTGCAAGAACTTTGGTGAGAAAAATTATGAGACATTTACTTTGTCATCATCCTCTCGTTAACATGCATCGAATGTTAACACCTATAATTTCACATAAAAAGTTCAACTTCAAAATGTGACCGCAGATCAAGGTCATGCCCTTACCTACTTGAGAAGTTCATGATGGTCATCAACTCATCCGTATGTAGGTATGATCTAATACCTTCAAGACAATTTCATTACTCTACCTCGTCTCCTATATCAAAAGTAATAGTCGAAAAACTGATGTTGAGCTTTTTTAAAAGCTTTTTGACCTAGCCCGACCATTTGAGTGGCCGCTGGCCATCAATTGCACGCTGTCCGTCAAATATGGGCAGAATGGTCGTGTTTCTGTAAATATGCTGTTGTTTTTTACGTGCCTCTTCAGATCAAGAGATTTTGTCCTTTTCCCCGATTTGGCTGGTAATGATCAGGACAATGATCTGAACTTTCGTTGTTGGTAAGGGGCCCCCATTAGGTTGAGGGGGGGCCCACTTTGCTGGGGGGCCCATCGCGAACGTCTCTCACCCCCGTCGCCAGAGTTCTGGCTGCGCCACTGTTAGATAGGGAGGTACTCAGCAACTTCTCAAAATGAAAACATCGACATGAAAACACCGGCATTCGGCGTGTTTTCAGACAACGTTTTCACCTCCTTGACTTTTGGCCACGGTCACCCTAAAGGCTGAAACAGACTCTTTCCGCATTTAGGAAATCGCATGCGAGAGCCTTTTTAAATGCATTATAATTCTTCTCCCACATCAATCGCATGCGGGAGGTGCGTGCGATTGATGCCAGCGTGCTTCCGTGTATTTGAATAGGCTCTTGCGTGCGAGTTCCTGAGTGCGGAAAGAGTCTGTTTCAGGCTTAAGTCACCTGAAATCGCCATTTTTGAAACGACAAATGAGGTCACGTCACTGTATTCAATATAAATGGATGATAAACCGTGTACGGCCCAACGAATGCTGGCAGTTGGCAGTGGCACATTCGTCATTATCAGCCCAGTACCTATTTGCCAAGTTATAGCTGAAAACGGCACTGAGATGTCTGTCTCAGCCCCGTCGCCTGCCTCTTACACTTCTTCTCTAAGCCCCGAAATGGTCTCAACATGACGAATAGGTAAGCTGTAAACGGTAGGTAGGTACAGATTGTAGGCATATTTGGAAATTGGAGATATATTTTCAAAAACAAATACCGTTCGATTCTGCGAAAAAAGAACGTTTTGCCTACAACATAATCATGAACCATCCAAATGTCGGAACTAGGAAGCAGCATGGCTTGTACATAGATAGATGTCACAAAAGCAGCACAAGCGGATGACTGGTGCTTGCTGACCGCGTGCGCACGGGCCTTTCCCTCAACCGATGTCGATCAATATGGTCGATGTCGATATAGTTAGATTCAAGCGCCGTGATGACGCCGTAAGACGCGGTGAGAGTGGCCTCAGCGGCCGGCGCCGGGTGAGTTGTTGTTGGTGATGAGGTCGTTGTTGTTGCTGGTGAGGTCGTTGTTGTTGGCGTTGGTGGAGGTGGCCAGGGCGGAGGTGGTGACGGTGTCGGTGCCGCTGTTGGTGACGCTCGGCGTGTTCGACTCGGTGGTGGTGATGCCGCCGCCGGGTATCACGGTGACAACAGGCGTGCTGGCCGCGCTGGCCGAGCCGCCGCGGGCCGCCTGCGCCGCCGCGCTGGCCGCCGTGCTGGCTGAGTAGCCGAGCGCGGCGGCCAGCGGCAGCAGGCCGAGCGCCTCCTTCAGCACGCCGCCGCCCGGGCAGCGGCAGCGCGGCGCCGGCGGCGGGGCGCCGCGCCGCTCCGGCCCGTTCGCCGCCGTGCCCGGCCGCAGCGCCAGCTCCAGCACCCGACCCAGGGACGCCGCCGCCTTCTGCAGGCCGGCCGGCAGACGGGGCCGGGTCAGCTGGCCAGCGCGGACCAGCGGCGGCCCCAGCGCCGGCTGTCGGCGCAGCAGCGCGCCCAGCAGGCCCTCCGAGCCCAGCAGCCGCAGCGGCACAGCGCTGTTGGCGAAAATCGGCCCGCTAGGCTCTGGCAGCTTCAGAGGGCGGAGCCGGCCGAGCCGCTCCAGCCGCAGACGGGACGGACGCAGCTCCCCTGCCGGCGGATGGTTCGTCAGACACGCTCCTCACGAGTACTACCAGAACATCCACAATACTGCAAGGATACAACACTCAACAGACAGAAAACACCGTCTGATTTCTGATAGGAAAGCACAGTGAAGCACCCGCATAGGAGCTAGATCGGTAACCCGTAATATGAACGACATTGGCATTCGTCGATCCAGAATCGTGGTCGCAGGAAAGAATTATAAGCTTACACTGACGAGTCTCACCTGCGTTCGGCGGGTCGGACAGCGACCTGCGCTGAGCGCGTCTGACCTCCAGAGTCAGCCCTCCGAGGCTGAGCTGAGAGCCGGAGAGAGCTGCTCGCGCCGCCACAAACAGCGCCAGTGAGAAGAGCGCCGAGACGCCGGCGGCCGCCACCGAGGCCACCTTGGTGTCGGTGCAGTAGCAGACCGAGGGCGGTGATGTCGGCCGGTACCCACCGGCCCTCTGAACCGCCGGCCGCTCCCGGGCCGGCGGCTGAACGCTGGGTGGAGGCACAGGCGGCCGACTGACGGCACCGCGGTGCTCTGCCACGGGAACGGTCTTCGGCACAGGTACCCGAGGACCGGCGGAGGGGCGCGGGGAGACGGCGACGGCGTACCGGTGGCGCCTCACCATCGGGGATCCAACGAGACGGGCTGCGAATGGACGGGATCCGTGTCCCGAGAAAGTAGAGAGGCGGTGGTTTTGCTCCGGTACGACAGAGGGACGGTTCCCCAGCCACGGAACGGTGGAAGAAAATTTACTTTCCTCGGAGCCGGTGAATGAACTGTGCCCAGATACGCCTGGTACCGTCGAAGATGTGTTGAAGGTGACAAGCGAAGAGGGTCCGGGCGGCGTTAGGGTTCGGTTAGATGGGTCGCTGGAGACCAGAGGCAGCGCGATCGGCTGCAGCGCCGCCGAGTCGCTGCTCGCACTTATTATCTCAGTCTGAGGATCGGTGCTATTCAGCGGGGAAGCCTCTGCCAGCAGCTGGGCCAGGAACCAGACGATCTTCCGCAGCTCTCTTCTGGACTCGGCGCGCCGCTGAGCGGTCTGTCCCGGAGATCGCGCGGGTCTGCGGCCGATCCGGCCACCGAGACGGGTGGGAGAGGCCACCGGCCGCCGCGGCAGCATCCTCGGCCTCCGGGGGCTGGTCTCACTCCTCAGAGGCGGTGCTCGCCCCCTCCGGCGGACAGCCCACGGTCCGGACCGGACATGTCTCTGACTGCGGTCTCCGGTGCCGTCGCCCGCCGCCGCACTATGCGCTGTGTGGACCGGGACGGGCTGCGGTCGGGCCTTCTTCACCACTGCCGAGCTAGCCGGCCCGCTGTGGCGCAGGTGTCGGTCACCACCGGCCGTCATCACGTCCCAGAGGGTGGTGAGTCGCGGCTGCGGCCGGTCGGCCGGCGGGCCCATCTCCCGCGGCAGCAGCACCACAGCGGTCACACTGTTCAGCAGCCCTGCCAGGTCGGTCACGGGACGAGCGACGGGTGCGTCCCCGGCGCTCGGCGCCGTCCCCAGTCCCGGCACGCACAGACACAGGACACACGCGGTCGCACATAGCCGGCGGAACGACAGGGAGCAGACAGCCGACATAGCTGACGTACGGATACACGTCGGGGCGTGAAGATGAACACAGCTACAGCGAAATTCAAATTTATTGAGCACCGTCGTCACAATTCCAGAGTAAATCCTAATCTACCATTTAGTTGCCACCACTTCAAACACCAGTCACTTGAACTCCGTCACGAGTGGTCACCGATTGCCAATAACGGCCCCGTTCCTGAGGCGACTTCACGTAATCACTGAGCCCATGCAGTCAGATCACCGACGCTGACCAATAAATCACTCACACTATCCCGAGCCCGATCGGCCGTCGTACAGCCTGTAATGCCCTATAACAAACACTGTAATGCCCAATATACCAGTTCCAATGTATCCACTATGACCTCTTCAGTCTGTGACACGACCTGCCGTCACCATCCAGCAGTGAGTCAGAGTCGATAGTCTGTCTTCAGCACCACTGGCCGCGCCGGGTCCGGCACGCAGAGTGATTCGGTGGCCGTCTCTGAGCACCACATCGACTTCGGAGAGCCGGAGACGGACGGGCCGATCGTCACCGTCTGCCGCCTGCCGGGACGGTACCTGCGGCAGAGAGGAGGCATCAGCGTCAGAGAGGAGCCACAAGATCGGCTCTGCGGCGCGCGGCGCCACCCTCAATGGCCCACAGACACCGCACACACGACAGCGCCAGCAGAACTCCAGTTAATTACCGCCCCGCTAATGAATTGTGGCTCGGCGGAGCAGCGCTGGACGCGGAGCCGCTCTGCCGACCGCTATCTGTATGCGCCACCCTGTCTTCCACAGCAGAGGGAGCGGTAGAAAAAAGACCCCACACCGTAACACGGTGGTCAGCCAACAAGGATGTGGCCGGACGAACGGTGATAATTACCACCGTAACCGGGCGGCAGGCGGCCGGGAGGATGGTCAGTAGCCATCTGCCCACTGATTTATGCATAGTCTGTTTAAAATGCATCCACTGGAGATGGGCTGAAACATTTTAAAGTTCCTACAAGAACAAGAAGGTAGCTGAGGTATAGCCACTGAATGTTAAACAAGTAGTTGAAAGTTATCGTCATGGAATCAGAAATATGAGAGCCCATGCACTCACCGCACAGCGCAGGGGTATCATAAAACTCACGAAGAACGTCGAGTTTTAGTTTTTTGATGAACTCACAGTGCGTAACTACGGAAACTGATCAAACGGAAAATAAGTGACCTTACTTCACGGTACTTGTATAGAAAAGCCACAACTAAGCATGACTAAATTAACAAAGCGTGACGAGGACCTGACTCTACTCACGGGACGTCCTGCTACGCCGACGACTCTTCCTCCTGCGGTAGGTGAGCGCGCGCCCGCCGGCCATGTTGGTGATCATGTCGCTGTCCTGGTTGCTGGCCGTGTTGGTGTTGGTGTTGATCGGGTTGCCCTGCGCCGTGTTGGTGATGACGTCGCTGTCCGTGTTGGTCAGCGTCGGCGCGTTGTTGTTGCTGTTGGTGATGGTGTCGGCGTCATTGATGGTGACGTCGATGGCGGTGCCGCCGCCGGCGCCGGCCGTGGCCAGCGCCGTGGTCGATAGGGTGGTGCTGTAGCCGAGCAGCACGGCCAGAGGCACGTAGCCGAGCACGTCCAGCAGGTGGCGCAGGCTGCACTCGCAGTCCGGCGGGCTCTGCTTCGTGCCGTTCACTGGACGGTACACGAGTCGGCCGCGGCCGCGCAGCCAGCGCTCCACGCGCGCCAGCAGACCGTCCTTGGTGACCGGCCTCAGCCGCTTCCGCTTCTGACCGGTGACGGTGTCCACACGGCGGGCGGCACCACGCCGGAGCCCCGGCACGGGCGCGGCGGTGGTCGGTGGCGCCAGCAGCTTGCCGGCGCGGTACTCCGCCCAGGTGAACCCGGGGAACGAGGGCTCCGGCCGGGCCCCGGACCAGGGCGCCGTCTCAGACAGGTGCTCGGTAACCAGCGCAGACAGCAGCGTCTCCATGTGGCCGTAACTGTTGGCTGCGCGGCGTAAACGGCATGAAACAGGAGAACAAAATTCTGTGAGGATTGAGGAACAAGAATCTAAGCATTGTCATTAGCATTGTCATAAATGAACACATCTCTTATGCCAAAAGCACAATCACACCATGCGTATTTGTATGCAGAATGCCAAAAATACTCGACAATAAAACACTTATCATACTAAACATAAAATGCCGACGAAGTGGGTCGGTCCCTGTACTCACGTTTGATGGCTCGGCCGCTGCCGCTGCCTTTGGAGCTGCCGATCGTCTGGATGGAGAGGACGTAAATGAGTAGCGCCGCCAGACCGGTGAGACCCACCACGGTGCCCGGCGGCGCCACCTCGCCGCACTCACACTCCTCCTGGCCGGACTTGGTCGACCCCTGCCGCCGCAGACTGGCCACCAGTTTCTCCGCGCCGGCCTCTGCCAGCAGGTCCAACAGCTTCTCCTGCTCCTTGGTCAGAGAGGACGGCGACGGCTGCTTACCTTCATCAGGTTTGTGGACGTTTGCTGGGTGATGGACATCGGCTGGTCGATGAGCTTCAGCTGGGTGATGAGCGTCACCAGGCCGATGGGCGTTTTCAGGACGATGTGCGTTCTCTAGCCGATGAACGTTTTCAGGTCGATAAGCGTCTTCAGGCTGATGAGCAGCTCCGGGCCGATGGGCGTCCCTCGGAGGGCCGTACCCAGGCAGGTCGCCACTGTGTCCCGGGTTGATGGGCGGGTACAGAGGCTCCCTTGGAGGACCGTACTCCTGGTGGGTGCCCCTCTGGGTAGGTCGGGTCAGTGACACTCCCCCGCTGGGCCCCGGGGAGAAGGTGGGAGGGAACAGAGGACTCCTTGGGGGCCCGTACCCCGACTGTGAGCCCTGCTGGTCGAGTGGTCCTCCACTGTATCCTGGGCTGACTGTGAGCGGGTACAGTGGGTCCTTCGGCGGTCCATACTGTGAAGTGTCGAGAGGTAGGGAAGGACTACCGCCACCGTGCGGTGGGTACCGGGCGTCTACTTTACCGCCCTGCCCCGTAAATAAATCGTTAGTGAAATGCGGGGACGGCTGCGGCGCGGCGGGCCCCTCCTGCTGATGCTGCAGGTTCTTAGGCGGGCCGTAGCCCTGTGGAAGGGACAGGAGCGAGTCGACGTACCAGGGCCGCTCCAAAGAGGCGGCCTGCTCCGGCGGCACTAAGCCGTCACCCACAGCTGGTGAGGAGAGGGCCGGATGCCCAGCCAATGAGTGTGGGATGGTGGGAGACTCGCCCGATGGACGGGAGACGGTGGGGGAGCCCGCGGACCCAGACGGCGGGCGAGGCCCCTCAGACGGTCCAGTAGGGGAGTGAGACTCAGCTGCGGACGCATCAGACTGGTGTGAGTCCGCGGGCGGCTTCCCCGCTGGCTGTGGCTCAGCAGGTGGCTCAGCTAGTGATTGTGACTCAGCAGGTGGCTCAGCCGATGAATGTGTCTCAGGGGGCTCGGCCGACGGATGAGGCCCAGCAGGCAACTCCGCTGGAATCGGAGGCAGCTCAGCCGTCAAATCGATAAAACGCTGGGAAAACTCCGGAGGTTGAGAGTGCTTAGACGGCTGAGAGGACTTATGGGACTGGGCGTATTCGGAGGAAGTGGAATACTCGGGAGACTGGGAGAACTCGGGAGGCTCTGGGAATTCGAGCGGCACGTTGGTGAGCGGTGACACAGTCGTGGCGTCCGCTGGGAGCTCGGCGTCCTTCTCAGGAATCACGAGCAGCGGGTGCCATCGGGCGGCGGTGCCAGTGGCCGGATTCGGACGCTCTTCTGGAGGACCGGCGAAGTGGCGAGTCGAGTTGTCACCGGGTCCATCAGGGCTGGCCGGTGCGTCTTCTGTCGGTGAATTGTCGTCAGTCAGAGGCTGCAACTCGTGAGACGGTGCTGTGTATGACGCAGAGAGGTCCTGCCAATCATCCCCACCTATAGGTAGATTGTTCAGCTTCGGCCGCTCCTCCCCACCTGACGGCAAACGGTTCAGCTCAGAGGGACCGGCTCTATTCGGTAACGGTAGAAGAGGCCCGGGATGACTCGGATGCCAGTCTACCGGTCTTGACAACCCAAACTTCAACGTCTCCGGGGACCAGCGCCGCCGGCCGGGGCGGCGGACACTTGGTACCCGTCTTCCCTGCCGCTTTTGCAGAGCGTCTGCATTGCCCTTCCAGGCCCTGGGTTTCCGAGCTCCCTGACTACCGTAGTCAGCTCCCAGCCAGCCTGTCCAGATCCTGGGCTTTCGAGCTCTCCGGCTACCACCATCGGCCACCGGCCAGCCCGACCAGGTCCTTGGTTTACGAGCTCTGCGACCGTTCTCAGTCCCTGACCATCCTGGCCAGGTCCTCGGCTTGCGTGCTCTCTGTCCGACAGATGGGAGTCCAAGACGGCTCCGCCATTCACCGGTGACGCCGCTCTCAGCACTGCCGGACTGCCGCCGACCCGCCGGGTCCGGGCGTCTGTGTCTCCCAGGGTTGAACTGCGGCCCAGTGTGCCAGCCCGTAGGTGACAGTCGCGCCGGCAGCTCCGATGACTGTCGCTGACTGGGGTTCCGTCTTCTGATTGGCCCGATGAGAGGAGCTCTCAGTTCAGCACCGCCCGTTTGTCGCCACCAGTTGCCAAAGGAACGGCCCATTCCAGTGGCCGTCGCCGGAGGCAGGGCGGCCCTCGCGGAAAGACACCCTCCGGCTAGCCAGTTGGTGAAAAGTAGCAACGCCGACAGCAACATGACTATGAAGCTCACCCGTCGCCGACGGCGTTCGACACGGTACGACACGACAGTCCCGACTGACGGGGGCGGCGGACAGCGGCCGGCGGCCCGGCGACAGACGCGGCCCGCGGCTGATTTACGCACTAAACGGGCGCTGATTTACTCCCTGTCGGTCGTTGATTTACTCCCCCGCCGCGCGCGGCTGTGATTTATGGCCGCCGCTGGGCACACCGGTCCGGTGCCGCCTGCCGGCCGGAGCGGGACGGAAGTGGCCGGGGGAGACATGACCACTGGGACCGCAGCCGTCACCGGACCGGGACCGCGGCCGGCGCCAGCCTGCCGTCATAACTAACCCAGACACCGTCAGTCCACATAACGAGTTGAGTGTGTCTGTCAAAACCAGGAATGTCCCGTATTTACACATGCATGATGCACCGTGCACGACGGATAAAGTGATAAAAACATATATGTATAAGTTTATATACCTAACACCAGCTGCACGGGGCTGCGGAGTCGATGGATTTTCGGCGACTCCGACCCCGACTCCGGGCAGAACTGTCGACTCCGACCGACTCCAACTCCGACTCCGACTCCGCAGCCCTGCAGCCGCAGCAACAAAATGGAGAAGAAAAAAAAACATGGAAGACAATGACGAGACGACCACTTGGATGTGTGAGCGCCCGCCCACCGAACGAACGTGCCGTCTCCTCAGCCCGCTGCGCTCGCTCTGGACGAATTGGATGTTGTTGCCCGGGCACAGGGCTGCGTTGTCACTGGTGTAGGTAGAGTATGTACTTAGGCGGTCGTGCCGGGATCTTCTGAAATACCGTGGCGGGAAGGGAAGGTGGGACACAGCAATAGCAGGGCTGGGAGTGGGACAAAACGCGGACACTGCCAATGCACTGATAACAGGGGACAGGACACTGTCCCGGGGCAGCCCATAGCCTTGGGCGAGGGTGCAGGCCCACCGACTTTGCATCAGCCGAGCGACGACCTCCGCGTCGCCGTGGCGATGAGACATGACTAGCACCCGGTTCAGCGCGAACCACACTATCAGCATGAAGTCGCGCTGTTGCCCGCTGTGCAGGTTGGCCACCTCGTCTCCCTCGGCGGAATGCACCTCCCGACGGCCGGTCAGGTGCTGCGGGGCGACGCGTCGAGCCTCGAGGCACCCGGCGCCATGGGCGCCGCCACCGGGGGGGACGGGGGGGGACGCGTCCCCCCCACTCTCAGAATGGAAGGGGGACGTCCCCCCCAAACTCATCACGGAGCGAGCGAAGCGAGCGTAGTCTTTCGTAGGTTAACGGAAATTTCTGAGTATGCCGTGGTCACGCTTTGGTAGGCTTATATCTCAGCAACCACTTGACCGATTAACATGCGGTAATTTTTGTATAGGGTAGCACTAGATTCATTCCTTCTAACGAGCATCGGACTATTCCCGATGCATTTGAGTGACCCCATATGCACGTGCCACGTGAAAAACGAAGAGGTGTCAGTTTTGTAACAATTTCAATATCTCGGCAACTACTGGGCCGATTGCGCTGAAAGTTGGCATGTAGGTAGGAGGTATACCCACTAGGCAATGCATATCCATGTGCCACAGTTGGGGTGCTGCTGCACGTGCGCACATGCAGGGGTCGATTCCAGATCTCGAGAACGGCTGAACCGATTGTGCTGAAATCTGATACATGGTTAGGGAGCGGTTGGTAGGGTGCCGTGTAAAAGTCAGTTGGGACCCATTTTGCACGTGCGCACTTGCAGGGTACCGCTTCCAGATCTCGAGAACGGCTAGGCCGATTGCGCTCAAATTTGGCACATCGTTAGGGACCGGTTAGAAGTGTGCAGTGCACAAGGTAGTTGGAGGTATCCCCTCGCAATTTCGCACGTGCAAGGCCCACCCCACCCTCTCGCTCGCTCCGTTGGTCGCCCCAAAAGGCGTTTTACTGGTTGTTATTCTACTCGAAATTTGATTAGGCCCTTCGGTCCAATGAGACCATTTCAGAGCCGCAAGTATGAAAGAATTAGTGGAAGACATTGGTCGGGGCAGCCACCCCAGTGAGCCACTTGGGATGAACCCGATCAATTGAACAGGTAGCCCAGCCCACTGGCACTCACTGCACCCGGCAAAGGACTATAGCTCCAGTGCACTGGAGCTATAGCTCTATAGCTCCATACAACTATAGCTCCACGTGGAGCCATTCCCGCATGGGATATAGTTGCCCGTCCAGCCCGGAGCAGGGGGTTGCGGCGTGGAGGAGAAGGATTTGACTGTCCTGAGGATGGAAGAGATGGAACGGCCGGTGCCGAATCTGAGAGGGTCTCGGATTGTTTGTTTTGTTGGGTTAGGCCCTTTCGGTCTGACGAGACCATTTCAGGGCCGGAAGGATGATAGGAATTAGGGGGAGACATTGGTCTGGGTAGACGCCCTAGAAAGTCGCCGGGGCTGAGCCCGTCCGAAAGGACAGGCCGACCAGCCCCCCAAGCACTCTCTGCACCCGGCTACGGGGTGCGCTCCCTCGGGAGCAGCGGTGCCGCTCCAAGGGAGCAGCCCGCATGAGATAAAGGTGCCTGTCCAGCCCGGAGTGGGGGTTGCGGCGTGGAGAAGGAGGATTTATGTATCCTTAGGATGGAAGCGATGGAACGGAGGTGGGTCCAGGAGGTTTAGATACTCAGTATATGGGGCGTGGGCCTACATGCATTGGTCTGACCCCTGCCACCTCGGCCAACAAAATCTCCAGCTCTTATCCGACCTGTCATCGCGGAACTGCCGATTTTTGATATCGTGATCGACGTGTGTCGTATAACACGACTGGCCGAACACTGGCCTAATATATTTCGTCTAACCAGCCAAGAGCATGACTTTACACCAATCCGACCTCGAAGTCAAAATCCGAACATTTTCGAAGACTTCAACTCCGACTCTGGCCAAAACTGGCCAAAACAGTCAACTCCGACTGATTCCGGCTCCGACCCCACACTTCTGCAGTCACGCTACACTAAATTTCCAGCTTCTAAGAAATAAGCTATACGGTTGACAGGACCACAAAACTTTGAGGCGACTTGACTACTTGACTTGGTTTTCCTGACCTAAGGTTTTCTGGTATCAAGCTTGTTACACGGGCTGCAAAATTCGTATTTTGGAGCAGTTTTGCCTAATGTTTTTTTGCCAATTTTCGCGGCGCTTCGCGCCGATTCGTGCACCAACTAAAAAGAGAGATTTGTGACTATACAACGCCCCCTCCCCCACGCGGGTATGCAATATGCATTACCTATGCATATGCAATATGCATTATCGATCATATTAGTGGCATACATCAGCAATAATACCGTGATAGAACACGAGGCTTTGCCGTGTCAAACTGAATCGGACATCAGATGTGTATATAGGTAGGTACTCGGTGGGAATGCGGTCTATAGCCATTACTTTAAGGAAACACCTAACCTAAACTACTTTCCTCAAACCAGTGGTTTTGCCACAGTTTTATGAGTTTTTAAACTTAAAATGGTCAGGAAATAATGAATATTTGCAAAAGGATTTTATATTTATTTTTACACCACTATTTTCCATCTTTCGTACAGGTTACTTAGTACTTACCTATATTGCAGCGGAAGCTGATTACGCGTTGACCAAGCATAGTACGTAGTTCAAAGTTAAACCAGCTGAATGCTGATTGGCTAGCATTTTTCCGTAAGGGAATGGATTCCTCGGTAAGAGAATGACAAAGTATAGGGTAAGGGCGGGTAAGAGTACGCGGGCGATAAGAGTACGCATCAGCTGTTTCGGTTGCTTAGCAACGCGGGTTTGTCGAGTTCATGAAGTGACATGAAGCCGCCAGTGCGTGCTTGTCACCAACGGAACGTGGGCGTTGAGCGGCGACGCTGTTGAGTTTAAGGCGATGAATATTATTTTCGAGCGTTATGATATTATTATGGTAAGGTACAATAATTTTGATACTTGGCAGTTGAGATAAGGTACATTTCCGTGATTGTTGTGGGAAACTTGTGAGGTTATCTAGGGAAATACTGTGCAGTGCAATATTCTGTTTGCGAAGTTTTGCACAACGTTTCGGGGTTGTTTTGTGCGCGAATTGCATGTACGGTAAGAGGACGCACTGTTCAGGAGGGTAAGAGTACGCAGAATTATACATTAAATCGAATATGCAGAAATATAAAATTATTAATCTATCGCTCAATGAAGTTTGTTTTGTAGGTATATCATCAATGGAGCACTGTGATGCAGATGCGTACCCGAAATTCTTCCAAATACGAGTTATTCTCTCTTTTGATTGTGCATTTTTTTAAGAAACACACGACATGATTATTTCCTGATTTATAGACTTGAAAGATCTATTTTATGTTTTTTTTTGGATACTAGAATTAACTTAAATGCCTTCTGAGTTTGAAGTTAAGCATTTGGACAGTACAAGCTGCATAGGTGTGTGTTCATATGCTTGCGTACTCCACCCGCCTGGCGTGCGTACTCTTACACACCCCATATGGTAAGAGTACGCAACTGCAGCGGTTCAGAAAATGTCAGTTTTTGACCACTTCCATTTACGCTGAAGGATCGTTGCCCCATGGGTTGATGGTTAATTCAATGAACTTTAATATTCCCTATTTGCGATTTCTTTCTTTCAAATATTAAACAAATGAGAGCAAGAAATCCACTAAGTGCGTACTCTTATACGACTTCACCCTAATCTATGGGAATGACTTCAGTCTTCAAACCTAAAATCGATACCGATGTATTTCGCTAGGGTGATCGTTGGGCCATAAAAGCTCCTGATTTGTTCTCGTCTCAGCTCAAGCTACAAAATTGTTACTTCAGTTCAAAACCCTATGCTAAAAGTGGCATATTTGCTTTAAACGTTGAATGCATCCGACCGAAAAAGCCACGGTAAGAATGTCTACTTTTGGGTTTTCAGCCGGCCAGTCCGTCCCCCCCAGTCAAAAATCCGTGGCGGCGCCCCTGCCCGGCGCAGACCACCTCAGGCGAGCGGCGGGAGCTAAGGCGACCGGCTCGGGCGCGGCTCGGTTCAGTCGGTGCCGTACGGCACGCACCAGCACACGGTGGTTGGGAAACGGTTTGGAATTGATGACCACGGCCAAGGCGTCCTTGCCGGTCCGCACGGCTGCTGCACGACTGGGCTTCCGGCGAACGGCCAGCCCGAAAGTATCAAGTGATAACTGATCAAAGATCAAGATCAGGGCCAGTCGCCGACCAGAGGCCTGCCGGGACTGGTGGCCTGGAACTGTGGTAGGCCACCAGTCCCCAACGTAACGTCTGGTCACTGGTGCCCTACGCCGGGTCGCTCCCCAAGGCCAACCCTCATCCTCATGACGTTCCTGCGGTGTTGTGACCCGCGCCGTGAGCGTGACCAGGGGGGTTCGCTCCCGTGCCTTCAGCATTACGAAAAATGGCAACAACCCGTGAGCAGCACCAGCGCTCACGCACATGTTCAAGGAAAACAACGTGTAATGGACTGCTAACGACGGCCCTCTCCACCAATCAGCGTTCGGTATCTCGAGCGCTGATTGGCTGGTAGCAAACGCGTCATATGTGGGTCTCATTTTTTGCTATCAGTGAACGCGTTATTTAATACACAGTGGCCTATGGAGAATGGCACGCGGAATTGAAGGTCAGTGTTTTATTGCTTCGTACATGCGAATGGAGGTATTTGAGTGGCATTTGACACCATTTTCGAAATCTACAGTGAATTTCTGATCGACTC